ACCAATCATGTCGTCGTCACGTTGGAGCAGAGCTGGTGTATCCTCTCTAGGGCCAAGGTGATATGAAGACGAACTGTCGCCCATATATCTGGTACCTTTCTCCATTGATCGATGTACTCTAAGGTCAAGAATCCAGGCAACTAGGACCTTTGCTGTCTCAGGAGTGCCATCCTTAGGGGCTCGCTGTTGAGGGCTTCGTCTTCTTTAAAGAGTGAAAAGAGCGAAACTGGTTGTCTTTGATTGTTGCACAAAATATGAATCTAGCTAGACAGAAAAGGAAAGTGTAGTGGTTCACAAGAACAGTTTTGACGGCAGGAAAAGAGAGAGAGAGGGGGGGGGGAAGGGAGACAGGTAAGAGAGCGGGGAAAGAGGAGGAAATGTAGTTCTAATATTGGACTTCTCTCGTTCCTGTAAATATAATAACATTGTCATATCAATGACAATGAATTATTTCTTCTTCCCTTATACTTACCTATAACACTAATTATACAAATAACAATATATATATTCTAGTGTCTTTAGGCGTAGGAAAGCATTTTGAAGTGGTGGGGCAAAGTAGGTGCCCCTCAAAAAATAGCCGGGGTTCTGGAGGCTGCAGACCCCTGGCAGTATCCACAGGCAGTGTGTGTGGGACTAGGGTGCGAAGACCCCCAAAAGCTCCTGAATTTAAGCAGTTTTAAAGAGATAAACTCATTAATTTCTACACGAAAATGTGAATTTAGACATTTTTCTTTAGATAATACTCAACATAATGGTTATTTCCTTTAGAACACCAGACTCAGTTGTAGCTGCCCTCTCAGTTACAGCAGGTATGTTCCCAAACTAAGGAATTGTTGGGTTATTTTACAGGAAAGTTGAGGAGTGGAAGGAAGAAGTTGGTCCTGCCCCCCTCCTCTATAGTGGATGGCGGTCGCCCCGCCCCGCTTTCTTCATCCAATCAGCCACGCTGTTCTAAGCTACAAGGTTAACCTGATCCCTCATCTATACATCTATGTATAGTGACTGACACCCACTACAGGCCATTGCCATACACAATATCCCTGCCCTCCCTAGGAAGGATTTTCCTCCTTTATTTTGTTTTGTTTTTTCATTAAAAAAAAGATCTAAATGCAGGCTGTACGCAAGTGAAAGTACAGGTCACCAGCCCCAACCCCGCTGGTGGCTGTGGCCATCAACCAAAGAAATTTGTATGCTTATAATAGATTACATAAAAATGTTGTCCTGTTTTAACCCACTTGCAACGGAATTTCCGGTTTGCGCCGAGCCGGGATTATTTTCCTGCCGTCCGGGTCTTCGCACCGGTATTTTTTCTGACGCGGCGCGACCGCGCGCAGAAATTTCCACAGGGACTCATTGATGAAGATGGACTGGTTGGGACAAAGACCGGTCCCGACCCATTTACGACCCTCCTCAGCTTCCACAACCTGTCATCCTCAGGGTGGCCAGCCTCGTTGTCGACAAATTGGAGGTTACGAGAGATCTGTTCAAATCTCTCCCTCGGCATCGTGGAGAAGATGACCTGGGCAATCTCAAGATTCCGCAAGCAATTAAAGGAAAGCCGTGGCCTCCACTGAGCCCCATGAGGAGCCTCAGCGCAAGATATGAATGCAACTAAGCTTATGTCACAGGTTGCCACCTCCGCCCATGGCTTCTCTTCCTCTCGTTAGTCTGAGCAAACCTGTAAGCAAATGGAATGAATTCGTTTATGTAGGTACAGAGGTCACCGCTTCTATCTGAGTATAGCAATACTGTGTAGATGAAGTAATGTGCATCACCTTTACATACCTGTTCGTTTCCTCAACTTTATGAGCAATGAATTCCTCAGTGATAAACTCATTGAAGATGTCAAGGGCACTGATTCCTCATCAAGAGCCAACTTGAGGCCAGAATTACCGCAGAAGGAGTGTTTCCAAGGAACACTCTCCTTCCTTCTCCACTTGAAAGAAGACGTTCCGAGGACATTGCTGTTACATGTTATGACACGTGAACAGCGCGTTGCTCATCACTGTCATGTGTTGAGTCAAAAGTTGACACAAAGTCAAGCTCATCATCACTCTTTGCCTATAACTGAATGTCAATAGTGTGTGT